CTACTCGATCCAGACGCCGGACGCGCTCAACCCGCTCCTGGACTTTATCATGCAAGACTAAGAAAAGCAGCGCTTGCATCTTCTATGCTTGCGAGAGAAAGGGTGGATATGGCATGTGGTATGTACAAGATTAACCAAGGAGCGCCGCCGTGGTCTGGCCGAGGCCATAGAGGTGCCCCGAGTACTTCAGCGCATTCGCGACCTTGCCGTCGCAGTAAAAGTCGAGCATCTTGAAGAAGACGGCGGCCGTCAAGAGCGCGTCCGAGCCAGCTTGGTGCATAATACCGATGCGCTCGACCTGCATGTCTTCTGCCAAGCGGCTGAGCCCGCCCATCTTGTCGAAGTCGAGAGCGAGGTACTTGAGATCGTACGTGTCGGGGAAGAACGTGTGGAGGAGGTCGAAGAAGCTCTCTTCGTCCGACGGCAGCGGCGCGCACGTGAGCACCTTGAGAAGGTAACCAAAGTCGTACGACCCCTGGAAGCTCAGCCACTTGATGTCGGGGTTGAGCACGAGGCCGCTGGGCACGAGAAGCTCGCTATCGCCAGAGTCGTGATCCACCTACATGTCATGGCAAGAAGAGCGTACCCGAAGCGCGTGACCTCGATGCCCGACTCTTCGTGTTTGGCAAAGTCAATACCCGACTGCTTGAGGAGCTCGATCGAGTTCTCGGCGTACATGTCTTCGCCGAGCGAAAACTTGAAGTTGAATTGCCACACAGGCACGTCGTTCATGACGGTGCCATCTTCGTGAAAGAAGGCGATGCCGAGCTGGATGATGCGTAAGAGGTCTACGTTGCAGCGCAGCGTCTGGTACTGGTACTCGGTCGACGTCGAGAAAGACCCAATCGGCCGCGCCACGACGCCCGGGAACTCCGTGTCCATGGCCACGTAGCACTTGCGCCGAACGACTTCGCGGATCGCCTTCATCTCGTCCTCCAGGTTCGTCGCCCATACATCGCGGATCTCGATCTCGTCCGGCATGCTGCTCCTGCGTCGGTCCTGTGGCCGCTCCGAGTGTATGAGGGCTCCGTAACCGGATACGACGCCAGCCGGATACGAAACACTATCCGGCAAATTCTTATCCGGAGGTGTGGCAATCTTCATGCCGAGCTCTTTGACTGGGATGCACACCGCTTCGCCAAGCCTCCATACCGATGCTTCTACACCGCGCATAGGTAATTAAGCCAGTGCGATGGAGAAACATCAACAAGCATTTCCCATTTCCACCTCCTTTCCCGAGTCCAAGGATGGTTGTCGTGACCATCCTTGGAGCTGGTCACGGAAGACGTCACGAAGCTTTCACGTAGAGCGCTCCAGACGCAGGTATAGCAACCACGTACCTCCTCCATCCCTCCATGGTTGCCATTGAAGACGACACCAAACGATGTCTCAAGGCAATACATCATGGTTCGTACCTGGCGATCGGTGCGGATGCGATCGAGGGCACGGCGGCCTAGCGTGCTCAGCAGTCGGCTGGTGACATCCATCCAGTATCGCTTGCCGGCAGCACGCGCAACGTTTCTAGGAAGCTAGTGGTAGCGCGGATCTCGGCGATGTGTATGGACCTGCTACCATAATGCGCCGCAGGTTTGATCGAGATACGGCCCCCGACGAGTGCCTGTTGAAGTGTTGCAGATGACACGTTGGTGCTGGTCGATGAGACGTCTTCCGGTCGTGCCAACGGTGCTGCCAGGAAGAGTATACCACCAACGCAATCAAGCAAGAATGTTGCCGCGGCGCCATGGACGCGACAGAGAAGCAACGAGTGGCGGGAAATGCATATCCGGCAAGCGTCCGGATACAGATCCCGATGTTGGATCTTTCATTCATTTCCGATTTCGCCTTCAAGCCGAGAAGCGATCATGAGCAGCGCGAGCCAGCAGGGGTCGACGGCCGAAGAAGAGCGCCGCAGCTTCCTCGCCTGGACCAAGAGCATGGACGCGCGGGATGCTGCGATCGACTTCGTCACGCAGTTCTGCAAGACCATGGCGCGCGACCTGTACCCGCCGGCGTCCATCGAGCGCATCTTCGGCGTCGCCATGCCCACGACGGAGCCGGCGCCGTCGCCGGGCATCATGTCGATGGAGGAGTTCATGGCAAGCATCCCGGTCACAACGAAGGCCATGCCGATGGGCAAGATTGTCTTCAACGTGTGGGTTAGTCTGCACAAGCAAGACTTCTTCAAGGAAGACGACATGGTCTTGGCGCTGTTGAAGGGCATGCTGCCCGCCTACTTTATGGACTGCGTCCTGAAGAAGTACCACGCCGGAAACGGGAGCTACTACGAGGCAGAACTTCTCCAGCGCGGGTTCCGTGCCATCGAATGGGACCTTGAAGTCCACGAAATTCTCGCCAAGAAGCAGAACCCGCCTGCAAGTCAGTGGCAGGCGACGCCAACGAGCGACGTCAAGACGCCCGACGCTCCTAGCACGCCGACGCCCGACGCCGAGCCACGCGCAGAGAAGGGGCCGCTCGGTCTGCTCGTCAACGGCAGCACGCTCTCGCCGTGCGTCGTGACGATGAACACGATGTTTGAGAAGTGCCCGATCGCACATGCCGCTGGCATTCCCCTCTACGTCCGCAAGTGCGCCGGAGAAAGCAAGGAAGCTTCGTGCTACATCATCTCCCGGATGATGTCGGACCCCAAGATCGGCTTGGCGTCCATTCCCTGGACGTACGGCGGCGCTTGTGGTCCTGCGCCTCCGGTGCTCGTCGGCCGCAGCGATGGGGTGGCGTTTACCAAGGACGATTGGGCCGCTTTGGACGATTTCGAGATGATGATGCTCGACGACGGGCCGCCGTCGGTTACCCGTGCCGACTTTGAGGCGTTTGCACGGAGCCGCACCGACTCGAAGGCGGGTATCATCCTCGAAGCGCTCTTCCCCAAGGGCCGCGCCGTCGTCATCTCAGGCTTGCAGTCGAGCACGGAGCTCAACGGTCTTCGCGGGGTCGTCATGGGGAACTACACCAACGGTCGTATCGGTGTCGCCGTTGCCGGGCGTAGTGCGCCCGTGGCCGTCGCCCCCACCAAGCTCCAGACGGCGCCATAGATGGCGGTGCTACTCGTATGTTTGTCCGTGCATCGTTCGCGTTGATTCTGCATGTAAGAGGCTCCATAGTAAGAGTAATGATTTTCGTCCCATTTTCAGTTCTGTCCATGGGATCGAGGTCTGCTCCACTTGGGACAAGCCAACATCTCGACAGCTTCTTCAATCTACTAGTGCTACATAGTGTACATCGAGCTGCGTGTAGCTACTTGAGAAGCGTCAAATGGGTCGGCAAGAGAGCGACGGCGGTCGCGCGGCCCTCAAACTTGACCCCGACGCGGCCCTTGCTGTACTTGCCGTTGGTCTTGCCCTTGGCCCCATTGAGCTCTGGGTGCTTCTCGAGGCCATGCGCGCGCACGGCTTGGCCACGTGGAAAGACCACTTCGAGCGCAATCGTGGCGACGGGGGTCGACGAGCGCCTTGGCGAACGATGTAAAGTGACTTCGCATCACGACGCGCGGGTGCTGCTGGAGCATCGCGTCCTTAAAGCTGTCGAGAACAACCCAGTCAGCCTCTGTAAATGCGATCCCGTCGCTTCGAGCGACGAGAACCTCGAACGCCGCCGGGCCGCTGCCGCCGCCGAGCCACTCGGCCGGCGCCTC